CCTGGAAGTAGATGCGTTGGTTCCACGGTGCTTGTTTTGGGGTGGCCCAAGACAGGGGGTGGCCCAACTCGGGGTGGGTCGACTTATCTCCGAACGCGATCAATTCAAGATTGGGGCAGGTGGGCTTGGAGCCGTGCGCTTTCAACTTCCGGAGGGGGTGGAGTACCAGCAATCGATGTTCCACCAAATTCACATCAACATATTCCTCAGCTTCCCATTGTCCGACGCGGAAAAACGGTACTCTGTACCGAAGCTCGAAACATTGGCCGTACTTAAATCTCTTAACGAGCTAAGGTGGATTTGCCAGGCCACGTCCTATCCTATCAAAGTATACACCGACCACTTATCCATTGTTCAGTCCTGGAACAACAAATCAGCGGTTCACGAAAAGCTCTACGGCTGGATTGAAAGGATTTCCGAATACAATGTCATCTTCCATCACCGCAGTAACAAAACGTCGGTAATCGGCATCGCGGATGGACTGTCGCGCCTTCGGCCTCCTTTCCAGGATGACCCCCCGAGGATCCCGACCGCATCGGTCTGTGGGCAGACCCGCCGCCGCCAATTTGGGGCCCGCCCAAAGCCCGCGAGGGCATGATGGTGGCACTGCCATGGGAAACCCCGACCCATTATCCTATCCTCAGCGGCACCTGTGGCGCGACCTGGGTGAGAGACGTTGCCGACTACCTCGAGCGAGGGGCTGACGCCCTCGAGGGAAAAGGAGCGGCAAACAGACGGAACATCAAGCGTCGGGCCCTAAAGTTCCTGGTTATCGATGGGAAGCTTTATCGGATCGAGCAGGATGATTTATTCGCCGAAGTCATTGAGGACGAGCGGATTGAGACTGTGCTCGCCTGGGCATATGAGACCTGTGGGCATTTCGCGTACACAATCACAATGAAAAACTTGAAAGGTCAATTCTGGTGGCCGACAAGATCCCGCGATACCCAGAGGCGAATAACGTTTGTTTCGCCAGCACTTCGGCTATACTGCGCGTGTCGGCCGGTACTAGGCATGGAGAGTGTCAGCTGCGGCCGGGCATGTTTTACTGCGAACGGCGACCAAACAAGTCCACTCTGTGGATCAAACAGACTCACCAATGTCCAAGTCCCCGAACTTCCAGCACTTCTTGATAAATCCGGAAACGAAGTCACCCTCAAAGTACCCGGTCATTTCGTACGACCACTCTGCGCCTCTTTCGCGGGCTCGCAGATTGACCTCCTGTTTCTTCCACGACTGGCCGCCGTCTACGGCGACGGACCATCCGATATGATCGCCAAGGAAGTTGAAATTGCTGGTTCGCTTGATATGAACGCTGAAGGGGGCGCCTGACTTGGCCTCGATGTATTTCACGACGCGAACGCCGGCGGGGGAGTCGAGCTCTATAGTACAAGGCTCGTTGCAGGCCGCGTCGTCGTGGTGCTCAATCGCGCGCTCCCCGTCGACCTTAACCGTGACTTCCAGGCCCGGAATACGGTCCGAGATGGCCATTTTGTGCGGCTGGTAGGGCTGCTCCGCCAAGCGAAGTCGCCCGTACCATTGGCATAAACGGCGAAACCGTATCTGGGATGTGGCGCAAGAAGAAGAAGAATCAATGTGATAGTGGTGGGAAATTGCGTTGAAATAAGCTTTGCGACGCGACGTTTCGGGTGCACGTGCGGAGGCGGGGCCGGACAAACGAGCTACCGAAATGGGTGACTAGGGTTGGGGCGTTGGAGAGGGGTAAGCAGGAGGGAACCGTGGAAGGCCGCCCAGGAGGTGCCACTGGCGTCGGACCGGCAGCTGCCCGGCGTTTCGCTAAAGTGGTTCCCTTCCATGTCATCGAGGCGGGAGAACAGGTCGGAGTGACCTGCCGGTTGTGCAGCTTTTCAGTAGGATGCATCTCAAAACGATTGGCCGTTCCTAACGGGTTGCCCCCGAGCTTTGCTGAGTAAATTGGGTGGCTGGAGCAATGTTTACGCCACTTAATGACTCACTCAGATCACCATTCTGGGGAGCGGCACAGCGGTTAACCCCCCGAGGTTTAGGGTGCATGATTTGAAAAGTACTGCGTAAGTAATTGGACGCCATGTTTTTAGCTGGAAACATGCCGCGTTCGCAGTACGGTGAGCGGTAGTTGCACAATAAAAGGTGCCGCGTGGAGATAGTCAGGGCTGGACGCAACAGGGTTGGACCGAACAGTCGCCGCTTCATCCGCCACCGTTGGATTACGGTGATGAACGTATCGAAGAAAGGCGGGATGACGTTACTTTCACTCGAAAGATCGTGGAGGTCGAGGACGAGGACGAGGATAAGGATAACAATAGCATCCAAACCCCAGTCAAACCACTCGAAGCCACCTCCCCGCCGGCCGCCGCCCCGACGCAGACCGAATGCCCACATACAGGGCCCGACCCAGCAAACGGGGCAGCGGCCGCTGGTCCCGAACCTGCAACCCCTCCTCCACCCAGATACCCAGACGGCCGTACGAACGAGAGGTTAGGCCGCCGAGACACAACGAGTTCTCCAGCTACGGCATCATGCAAAGACAAACCTGTTCGCGGCACGAAAGATCCTGCCATTTCCCAGCCAAAAGGCCCTGCGACGCCTGCGAGTTCAGACCCGACTCTGTCATGCTCGACACCCGGGAGCAATGCCGGAGAGTTGCCCAATGACACAGCGGCGGATCTAGAAAGTTCCAACAGACCGGCGAGCCCGCCCGCGACATTGTCGGACTCGTCGAACGGAAAAGCATCAAATACCGAGGTCGACCCCGTGGATAGCGGCCAATCCACAGGCGATGGCCCGACTCCGAGTAGGAAAAGGCCGCGCCCGGAGTATGTGGAAGTCGATGGGAATGACGAGGGTGGAATCGGGCAGCATCGACGGAAGCGGAGGACTACAGATGGACGGCCCGATAATTTATCGCAATCACCCACCTAGCCAGCCGCCTCGGGAGAGGCTGATAGATAGGGTAAGGGAAGGAATCGGTAGCTGGGGAGAGACCCCTTTCAGCATTCGATTGTAGACAAGGTCTGATCGTCCTCCTCGGCCTCGGCGCCGCAGTAGGCAATTTCCGCCACCACAGTCCAGCACTTCCTCTAGGCTTCTTTTGGCGGGCCGGTCTCTCCTGTCTCCCCCTCCACAGAAGCACGTTCCACTAAGCCGTCGTTTGTTTGACGGGGCTCACAGTGGATGCGGTAGGCGTCGAAGGGGACCAGTGGCCTGCCTAGCCAATTCGCCTCAGCTTGACGTCCATCTCCCGCAAATAGCGCTCCGCCGAGTCCGCATCATATCCGAATGCCAACTTCACCATCTCGTAGACGCGGTCTGCATCCTGTTCCCACGACCCCTGAAGCCTGGTGAAGCAAGCATATATCCTCGAGGCCTCGCCGTCTAGCACTTTGGCAAACGAACCCTGCCCGGCAAGGGCCCGTCCCTCCCGTCGGACTCGGGACTCGGCGTCCTGGAACTTGTGGACGTACATGGCTCGGGCGGCCGCCTGTTTTGCCATGTTCTTGTGTGCAACGTGTCCCGGGTCCTCGAGGGCCTCTCTGATGCTCTCGTCCGACCTAAGCAGCGGGAACGGGAAGGGATAGTGGTTAACCTGCCACGGTGCGGTCTGCGCAAATTCCCAATCAATAACTGCCAGGAAATTGAAGTTATCGTCCACTAGGATATTTTGCGTGCCGAGATCCATGTGGTTGAGCTGAAATCGCGCAGAAGAAGAAGAAGAAGAAGAAGCGTCGGCGCCCTTAAACAGTTCGGTATGGTGAACAATGTTGCAAATACGAAGATGCTCAACCTGTCGGACAGGCCCGAGTTTTCTTCCACCGCCGTGGTCGACGCCTGAGACTGGTAGATGGGGACAAAGTAATCGTCCACGTCGGCCCTGGTGCCGAATTTCGTCTTTCTCTCCTTCCGTAGAAGCAGCTGTTGCCTGCCGAATCTGGCGGCCGACAGTGCATTCGACCCTGGCGATAACAACCTGTAGTAGAAGACAGCGGGTCGGCTAGAGACGAGCGCTGGGATTAGAGCTCATGCAGCTATGGGGCAGGGGTCCTTGTCGCGGTGGGGAGATGTCCAGCAGCATCGTGCCTGCGCCAATGGGCCCTCGGCAACGACAGAATTTCTCCGACGGTGGCAGGACAGCTAGCGGTTCCGATGCTTCCAGCTTTGTTGCCTCACTTTCACCAGTGCGACCAGAATGTGGGGTCGTGGGAGCATCCACCCGTGCCCGCCACATCTCCTGGGTGGCCTCTGCGAATTGGTATCTCGGGCAGCTGGTGTCCACCCGCACAGCGACATTCCAAAGGACTCTGCGGCAAATTCCGAGTTTGCAGGCCGGGGCGCAAGCCATTTCTTGAAAAGGATACGTCTCTTTTTTTTTTTTTTTTATTACTTTTTACCAAAGCTTGCGGTTGCGGCCAACCAATTCCGGTTTGCCACAATTGCCGTCAGGTATGGGGGTATTTTCCAGGTTCCGGAGGCAACCAGATGTGGTCCGTGCATGGGTGCACATATTACCTACCGTGTGTATATCACCACGAGGATCACAGTCTTCTTCACAGAGAGGACGAAAGAGAGATGAGATGGAATGAGAGAAGGACTAGAGACAGTGTTCTCCGACAATTGCCTGCCAATACGTGCAGCTCGCGGGCGTCTCTAGCCTGTGGTCGGGGTTGGGTGGGGCTCGTGCCACATCTTGGACGGGATGCCGGGGAGTAGCTCTCGATGCTTATTCTATCGCTCGTTTGCGCGCGTAGGGAGGGGGGCCTCCCTCGGGCGAAAAATGCGGCTCTCTTAGCACGCGCCATGAGTGAGGCGGACGGCTGGCGATCGCTTGTGCGGAGCAATTTGTATCCGTCTTCTGCACAAGCAACAGGTACGATGCCCTCTTCTGCACACGGGACGGGAATGAGGCCCTGCTGATGCGGATGGCCGGCGATCGCCTGTGCGGAACAATTTGCGTCCGTCTTCTGCACACGCAACAGGAATGAGGCCCTGCTGGGGCGGACGCCGGAGAGTTCCC